AGGCCTAACAGGTTCCTTCTTTGCGGCGGCTGCTGAGGAGAATTAATTCTCCTCAGATTCCCCTCAGCCGCCGCCGCCGCCATCATCGTCGTCGTCGCCGCCTCAACCAGGAGCCATTCCTGCGAAGTTGGCGGCCGAGCAGCAGGGGGTGCCTTCTCCTTCCCTTTCCCTTTCGGTGCCCTTCGGACCAATCGGCAGAAAAAACAAAAGGCGCCCAGGAGAAGAGAAGGGGAGGGAAGGGAAGGAAGGAGGCCGCTCTCCTTTCCCTCTGGGCTCCAGGCGGCGCCGCCTCAAAGCCACAAACGAGCGTCGCCTCTGAGGGGAGCCGTGAGAGGATGGCGAGGAGCCTGGCAGGAGGAAGAGGGAGAAGGGAGCCCCCTTGGGCCATGGCTTCTTGGCTCCTCTGGGCGCTCTGGGGCCTGGCCGCCGGGTCCCTCAGCAGCCTCCAGCCGCCCTACTTCAACCTGGCCGAGAGGGCCACCATTGGGGCCACGGCCACCTGCGGCCAGGACAAGGAGGGCAGGCCCCGCATGGAGCTCTACTGCAAGCTGGTCGGGGGTCCCGCCGCCTTCCCCGATGGACAGGCCATCCAGGTGAGGAGGAGGAGGAGGAGGAGGGATTAGCTTTATCATCATCTATTTCATTTCATTTTGTATACCGCCTTTCCTCCCAGAAGGGACCCAAGAGGCGGCGCACAGATTATTATTATTATTAAGAAAAAAATTAAAAAACAGAAACAAACCCCAACCCAACCCAAACATTACCACAAAATTTAAAACAGTCAAAATCCTCTGAAAGCAGGTGTTTAGCCTGTAGAATCAGTATTATAAGCCTGAGGGCAGGGAAATGTCTAATTAACCGTTTGTAAGCCGCTCTGCTAGCCTTTTGGCTGAAGAGCGGGGTATAAATAATAATAATAATAATAATAATCATCATCTTGTAGAGCCGTTGAGAATAACTGAAAGAAAGAAGTTGGCAGCAGCAGCTTTCCTAGACTTAAGTCTCCTTCCTCAGAATGCGTTTGGTGAGGAAATAGACTTAACTGACAACTCCTTTCTTTCCTTGAGTCTCAAAGGTGCTACAAGATCTGTCTACAACATATTTTAATGGTCAAAATCATCTATATGATAGCCCTGTTTAAATATTTGAGGGGGTGTCATATTGAGGATGGAGCAAGCTTTTTTCCTGCTGCTCCAGAGAATAGGACCCAGAGCAACGGATTCAAACTACAGAAAAATGAGATTCCACCTCAACATTAGGAGGAACCTCCTGACAGTAAGAGTTGTTTGACAGTGGAGCATACTCCCTTGGAGAGTGGTGGAGTCTCCTTCTTTGGAGGTCTTTAAACAGAGGCTGGATGGCCATCTGTCAGAGGTGCTTTGATTGAGAGTTCCTGCATGGCAGAATGGGGTTGGACTGCTTGACCCTTGAGGTCTCTTCCAACTCTGTGATTCTATGATTCTGTCTAAAAGCAGAATTCAAAGATATAGCTGTGGTTAGTCTCTGGAATCAGTATGTAGAGAGATCTTGTAGTCACTCTTGAGACTCACTGAAAGAAAGAAGTTAGCAGCATGACCAAATGCATCTGAGGAAGTAGAATTTCATCTAAAAGCAGTATAAAATTACATTCAAATATACAAAAGTTAAGAGACATGACTACAACACACATACTTCATAAAAACCACCCTGGTATGGTTATACAGTCAGCCCTCTGTTTCCACGGATTTTTTAAATCCATGGATTCAAGCGTTCACAATTAGAAAATATTTTTAAAAAATGCATAAATGACAAAAAGCAAACATTTTATATCAGGAGACCATTTTACTAAGCCATTGTGTTTAATGGGACTTGAGCACCCACATATTTTATTATCCACAAGGGTCTTGGAACCAACCCCAGCAGATAACAAGGACCCACTGTATATTAAACACTTGTTGTTGTTGTTGTTGTTGTGTGCCTTCAAGATTTAGGGCAACCTATCATGGTTGTTTTTTTGGCAAGTTTCTTCAGAGGCGTTTTTGCCATGGCCATCATATGAGGTTGAGAGAGTGTGACTTGCCCCATTGGGTTTACATGGCTGAACCAGAATTCAAACCCTGATCTCCAGCAGCATTATTAATCTTGGATCACAGACCTCTTTAAGAATTTGCTCAGAAAAATGCATATAAACACATGCAGACAAAAAAACCCCATATATTTTATTTTATAATTGGAAATTGATTTCCTCCACACAGTGTAGTCTGGAAACAGTTAATTCCTCTGATGTTCAACTCCTTTGCTGGCTGAATTTCATGGGAATTGTAACCCACATGTGGAGGATACCAGTTTGAGGAAGACTTTTTTAATGGTATACCAGTACTGCAGAATGATCTGCTATATATGATGTCAACCGAAAGTGTTTCAACATACAGGTGGGGTTTTCCAAGTACAGATGTTTTTTAATATTCATCATCTGTCACTTAACAGGAGTAGTTTCTTTCATTCTTGCTCAAAGCTTCTGGACTGGGATGAATTAAATCATATAATTGGTTTGGTGTCTCAGGAGTAAGGAAAAGCTGGATCTGGCAGCCCATTCAGGTTTTATATCTGTATGTATCATTCATCTATGGCTGCATTAAAAGGAATATACATAAGATAACATTTTTTTAGGGCTGGGTTAAAGAAAATATACCACCACCCCAGGTGTTTTGGCAGTAACTTGTAGGATCTTGTCTGTCTGGAGACAGAGGAAGAATAAATCTGAACCAAAAATGATCCATTCTGTAGTGCACCTCTAGTTCTTACTGTATCTGAGAATGATCTGTGTGACTGGTTGCCAGGATTATTCCAAGTCAACCTGTTCATCATGTCATGTCATGTCATGTTCCCATCCATTTTAAATCATTCTGAGTGTTGATACTAATTTTAGATTAATATATATTTACAGAAATTAATGTACATGCAAAACGGCTGTTATGGTTTGTTTTTTTCTGTGGGATATGGATATCTCTGTTGGATGATTTGCTGAATAGAACTGATGTGTGAAAGGGAATGAGAGGTAGGAGCAATATTCTCAGGGGCAAATTTGTAGCAGTTATACAAATTCTCAGGGGCAAATTTGTATAACATCAAGGCTGCAGTTGTGTACCCAGTTTTCTTTGAATTCCTTTGAAAAAGATTTTTTGTAGATATCTTGGTGAGTATAGGTGATCTATAGGATTGTGCTGTCAGAAATATTAAAAATCCTTCCAACATACTGTATTTAAGTGCTACCTTTGTCACCCTAAGCAATTAGGATTTGCAGGATTTGCAGTACATGAAATTCTATACAGGTAAATAGGCAGGCTAGCAGAGGAGGGAGGGAATGCTCTTTCTCTTCTTTGCATCCAGCATAGAAACCTAGTGAGATGTTATAGGTACGTAATCCCCTCCTTTTGCTTGGGGCCCACACAGAAGTGAAGAGGATCTGTGTCTTTCCTTTATTAATAAAGTTCTTTTCAGACTCGTAACTTTGGGGAGTTTATGTGCAGGGTCCCTTTGGGGTAATATACAAAAAAGCAAAATACAACCTCTGACTTAAGCAACAAGTATTGTTTCTGTGGTGCTGATTCTTTTGCTCATTTTTGGAAGGTAAGCTGTTATAGAGAGTTAAGTGTGAGTTTAATATATTTTTTCATCTGTGTGAGGATAACAGAGAAATGTTCCTTTTATTTAATATTTGTCTTAGACATTCTGGGCAAAAGGTCAATTGTGATGTATGTTGATCCAAGTTCCCAGAAAGATTACTGATAGATCAGCCCTGGCACAAGGAACCATGCTGGCTGCTTACAATATTTGTATAAATATGAATTCAGCAGCAGCATATAAATATGAATTCACTCCACTTTCCAACAAAAGCCTCATTGAGACACATAGCAAGAATACCTCTGAAGTTTACAAGGCGTCATTTTTGATTCAAGAGTGTTGCCAAATTATTTCAAAAGGCGGGGGAGATCAACTCTGGAAAAAGTGATAATAGCATGATGTTCATATTATCACAGTGTTCTTTGCTTACTCTTGGTTTCAAATGAATTTAGAATTACAACTTAAGAATGTTACTTTTTCAAATTATAATTGCATACAGAAATGGACACCAGGCATTAAATAGCATTGATACATACCCACATATATTAATATGCCCAGTATAGCAGGACAGAGGGGGCAAATGCACATATTTTCTATCATTCTAAGCCTAATATTGGTAAGATAGTAGCAGCAACATGAAATTTCCAATTAACCTGAGATGCTGTTTTGAAGTTACATCTATTCAAAATTTGTAGTAGACATTTTTGAAATGTGAATTTAATTTCATTGTTAAGAAAATAATGTCTAATGCAAATCTTTAATGAACAAGAGACTCGGGAAGGATTCACAGTCCTCGGTCAACCTGGAAAATAAACTGTGAGGTTCTCAGAATCCCAGAATTCTTTCATAGTTTTAGCACAAAGCATAAAGACCACTTTCAAGAAAGAATAAAGGAACAACAAGGTACACTTGTATGCTCTTGATATTGTTTCTGTGACTCCTACCAATCTGTTTCAGCCAGTGGTAATATATTTGCATAGCTCAGAGAATGGGGACCTTTGGCATGCAGCCTCCAGGTATTTCTCATCTGATCTGTAAATTGCTTCTACTGTTATCTCTGCTTAGTGATTGGAGATAAGAAATAGAAAGGTTTGAAGAAACTGGGAAGTTATTGCTTGGCAATGGCATATATTCTGAGGTTTAGGAAGGTATTTCACAAGCCTTTAAGTGTACTTTTTAGAGCTTGGGTTACAATTATTTACGGTACATGTTTATTTAGAAATAAATTCTGCTGAACTCAGTGAGTCTTACATTTGACTAGGCATGCATAGAATTGTAAAGGAGGAGATAACTTTAGTGACTGATGGATAATAGGATGTGCTCAGGAAAAGTGTGCATTCAAGACTTGACCAAGAAACATGTAGAAGGGAAAGGTGTGAGAGAAATGCTTTGGCAGTGGGAATGTAGGTCAGTGGTAAAGCACATGCTTTGTTTGCAGAAGGTCCCAGGTTCAATACCTGGTTGATTTGAGATTTATATACCCCCCAACATTTCACAGATGAAAAATTGGACATGCGTGGCCAACCAAACTCAGAATGTGGTCAGAATGACAAAAGTTATTATTGATGAATAACACATGAGGTACCATACTACTAGCAGAAAACATCACTTGGAATTTAGAACAATTATTAAAGAAGGCCAAAGAAGAAAGTGCAAAGGCAGACTTAGGGCCTTTGCAGACTGTTAGAAATTGTGCAAATTGAGTCCACTTTAACTGTCCTGGCTCAGTGCTAGGGAATCATGGGAATTGTATTTTTTTCTGAGACATTGAGCCTTCTCTGTCAGAGAGCTCTGGTGCCACAATAAACTACAGTTCCCATGCTTCCTTAGCACTGAGTCAGAGCAGATAAGTGGACTTGGTTATAAAGCTCTCTCTGTGATCCATTGTTGGCTTTGCAAAATGTTGTTCTCTTGTAAGTTGATCAACTTCTAAAGAATTGCAAAGGATAAAGTGAGAGATGATTGTGATGACAGAACTTCAAGAAGTATACCTTCCCCAATTAGTGAATTCCCTGTGTTTCAAATTATAATTCCTGTCCATTGGGCATGCTCACTGGGCTGATGGAACTGAAGCACAAAACAGTTGGATGTTACCAGGGTGTGGAGCAGGGCTTTAAAAAGTATGGCTATTGCTTTTCTCCAGATGAATGACAAAGTGTAAATCCAATAGCATATGACAATGGGACTGTCTCCCTGTTTTATCTTCCTTGTAGTTTCGGAAAATCTACTCTGGAGGGTTCCCAACCAATTGGAAGATACCAAGGGGACTGCTGGAGAGAGGTGGCATTGTCAGTCCCTCATGGTTTTTCTGCTGGTAGGAATGTTGTCTTCAGAGGAACTTCATCTGCTCAGACTGGAGTTTCCAGCATCATTACGTTTGCTAAGCATATTTTCCAAAGGTTCCACATATATGCTTTAGAGACAGTCTTATACAGGGCCTGTATGTTGATCTGTTTCCATTTGTTATATTTTTTTGATTGAAAATCTTGCTGTGTACACTCATGTTCTTGAAAACTCAAGGGCATAAGGATATTGCGATAAAAAATACACGTGGAAATACTTTGCTGAATTCCAGCCTAAATCTAGATCATGTTCCCAATCTCCTGGAATTGAGATGTGTATACTCTACCAGACAGACTACAGTGGGGAATGCTTTTTGGCAGATTGTACCAATGACAAACAGAGGGAAAGATTTTGTCCAACAGCTTATTATTATTATTTAGCTGCCATCTTTGTTGGCAGCTGTTATGGAATGTACTTTAAATAACTGAAATGCTTGTTATTCCAGAAGAATTCTTTGATGTATGTTAGGAGCATTTTTAAACATTGCCCTCAGAACTCCAGGTGACCTAGTTAAGCTGAAACAGCTCTCTTACTGCCTCATCTTGAATAACTAGGGGGGTTGCAGACTGCCAGAAACCATGCAAATTGAGTCCACTTTAAGGGTTAGGGTTAGTGCTAGGGAATCATGGGAATTGTTTTTTTTCTGAGACATTGAGCCTTCTCTGTCAGAGAGCTCTGGTGCCACAATAAAATAGTTCCCATGATTCCCTAACCCTAACCCTTAAAGTGGACTCAATTTGCACTATTTCTAGCAGTCTGCAAAGGCCCTAAGGTGAAGTAAAGTTAGGAAGAGACCTACACCCTATTTCTTTCTCTATTTCCCACCTCCAAATCTACTCTTTGGTTTTTTCCCCTGTACTAACCACCCCGTGCCTCCATATGGTGAATCCAGACAATGTTACTGCAAAATCATGGAGGTCCAGTGTTTCTGGATTGTTCTTCCATGTTTCTTCCAAAGCTTACACACTACATAATCATAGCACTATGATTCCATTGTAAGTGTCATGGCAACTTCCTATGAAATCCTAGTACTTTAAAGTACTTGTACTTTAGGGAGATATATTTAAAATTCTCAGCCATAGAGTTCTATCACCTTCCTCAGTGACAAACCCCAGGATTCCCTAGGTTGTAGGCAGTTAAAGTGGAATCACAGTGTTACAACTATGCAAAATGACAGGGACCCTGATTTGTGATGACTTCCCACTCACCCAATAAAGACAAATTGCAGCACAAACCTGTTCAGTGTAGATAGATCTCTGGAAGGCAGGGAGGCCTATGGAAGCTTTTAAGGCAATTATGCCATCAATTACATTTTTTTCTTGCCCTTGTTTATTGCTTCCTGTTGAACAGAAGCCCATTAAGGGACAAAAATCTGTGAAAAGCTCCCTATGAGGTATAGAATATGTTTCTTGATGAGGGATATCTTACTTATTTTCTTTCATAACTGCTTTATTTTGTAACTTATAAGTAAATTTTGTAGGAGGATTTTGGCCCTGAGGAAGGGCTTTATTAGATAATATAAAACTGTATTATTGTCTGGAGCTACAATATTAATTTTGCTTACAGGTGTTTGTTCCTGAGAATGGAAGCAAATACATTAGTTATCTCTATTCATCAACAGTTCTCAGTATTTCTTTGAAGTACCACAGAAGAAACAGCACTGAACTGCTCCTTGATTTTTCCACAGCGATTTAAAACAAATTGTTAATGGTCAAATTTAAACTGTTTTAGACTCTGGTTTTCTTCTCTTTCAGGGCCAGTTTTGTGACTATTGTAATGCTGCTGATCCAAAGAAAGCTCACCCAATAACCAATGCTATAGATGGGACAGAGCGCTGGTGGCAAAGTCCGTCTCTCTCATTAGGTTTGAAGTATGATGAAGTCAGTGTTACTTTAGATCTAGGACAGGTGAGTAAATGAGCTTTCTTCCCTCCATGGTGTTGATTATGACCATTTTCTTTGTCTATGGACTATACAGTGTGTAAGATGAGAGCTGTTTTCTGTTGAAGTTGTCTTTCTGTGCAAACTACATTTGATAAGGGGACATTCTAAAACAGTAGAATAAGCAAGTTATATTTAAATGAGTACAATTTCCCCAAGAATGTTGACTGGTTATTGGGTTGGCTGGATGAGAACTTATCTGTATCTTTAACTTTTTAACCTTCCTCAAGTTCAAGAGGTGAGAAAAAGGCAAGTTATAAACTACAGTGGTCCTTCCATATTCACTAGGGTTATAGGACCCCCATGAAAGTGGAAAAACCACAGATAACAAAACTACTATGTTTTTAGCTGAGACAACATCCGTCTACGTCCTCCAGTGCAGCTCTGTGGTCAACATCTGCCAGACATTGACCATACAATTGTGCTGGAGGAGCTACAAATGTCTAGTGGAGTGTTCTCTCTAGGAATCTCCAGGTTCTTCTGTGCAACTTATGGTTAAAGTTGACCACAGAGTTGCACTGGAGGACCTAGATATTCCTAGAGAGAACATACTAATACAATCGGTGAATAATCAAATCCGCAAAAGTCAAATATGCAAATGTGGAGGGACAGTTGTATCTTAACATTTTGGATTCATTGTCAAATTACTAAAATAGCTCTGGATTTTATTTCTCCAATAACAGGGATAAATCCTCTGTCCAAACTTATGGTACTTAGAATCTAAATCTGGGAGGAAGAACTACTTATTAAAAGTGCTGCCAAGAACAAGCTATAGAACATTTCTATTAAAGATTCCAAGTTGAAATCAATCTTGTATTTTTATTTCTCCATGACCTGTCATTATCCAGATCCTTGCCCTAGTGGTACAGGCCAGGGTTCTGTCAGTACTAGAACTATTGCACACCATAGCTGCACACCATAGCCTTACAACATAGACATTTTAACTACGAAATTTGGCAAGACCATTAAAAAATATAACATCTCTTATCTCTCTATCCTTAGATAACACACCAATTAACTAATTAGGAAGTTGAACAGCAAACAAGGAAGAACAATAAAGTGTACATTAGTCAATATAAGTAGCAGACCTTGCAGGTTTACACTGAAATTCTAACTCAAAGGTGCACTGGCTAAAGGGTGGGTTAGAACTAGTCATAAATCTCTTCTGCTGGCAGAAATTTCTGTCTTATTGCAGAAATCCATCAACAGAACAACACACCAGCATCAGTGTTCTGACTCTGCCGGCAGAATAACCAAAAAGGGGCTTAAGGGACAGAGCAGGAGGAGCTCTGCTCCAAACTTCCTCCAGCCCAAGGACACAGCCATGATACTGGTTCAAAGTTAGGTCAGGGGAAAGATACTACAAAGTAATTGTTAAGATCCTTGGGCTGACTTGGACTCACACAACTTCTGAGGGTCTCTTACTGCCAAAGAAGAGGATCTCTTGGTAGAAGAACATTACAGTTGGCAGAAAAGGCTTGTGCTTAATCCTTTTCCCCATGTCCACAGTGTCTTAATTGCACTTATTTTTGCATGTGAAATTTTTCATGATATATAGAGATGCTAGACCATCACAACCTCATATCCATTTGGCCAGTCCTGCTGCCGACGCTGTCGTGTGCGCGCCGCTGTTGCCGCTGCACTATGCGTGACGCGAGGCGCCATTTTGCTTTCCAAAATGGTGCCCATGCTCGTGCATGCATGTGCACCACGGTGGGCACCGTTTTTGAAGGACAAATGGCACCGGTGTCATGCGCATGCACACAACGGTAGCGCCGTTTGGCCTTGCAAAATGGCGCCTGCCATGGTGTGCATGCGTGCGTGAGCTCGAGGCACCATCCAAAATGGTGCCCTGTGCTCGCATATGCATGCACACCACAGATGCGGTAGTGCGCATGCGCGCGTACCACCGCGGCCCGGAGGGCATTGGGGGACAGGGGGACCTGCCCCACCCCCAAAAGGTTGCCGACCCCTGGTTAAGATGGTATATGGTTGAGAGGATATCTTTTGCAGGCAGGCTCCTCCTCTCTGCCACAAAGAGGTCTATGACCTCACTGGAATGAGACATATTGGATTGCAAAATAGGGGTCCCTGTTGAGATGCAAATGGATTTTAAATTTCCTGGACTTGGAAAATCTCCCTAAAGGCATATGGCCAGAAGGAGGAGGAGCCTGCCTGCAAATGAT